CGTTGATATACAAGAGGCATTTAGATTCATGCAAAACGCCCAGTATATTGGCAAGCTGGTCATCCGTCTTCCCGAGGACCCCTCTCTTCTCGGGGCAGCGCCTTTGCAGCGTAGCTTCACTCTCCGCTCAGACCGGTCTTACTTCCTTGCCGGAGGTCTTGGTGGCTTGGGTCGATCAGTCTCCATTTGGATGGCCGAGCACGGGGCTAAGAATCTGGTTTATCTTTCTCGAAGTGGTGGAAGCAAACCTGAAGACGCTGCTCTCGTTCGTGATCTCGAAGCCTCTGGCTGCACAGCACAGATATTCCCTGGAAGCGTGGCGAATATTGCTGATGTCAAGAACGCCATCGCCAACGCGAAGCTTCCCGTTGGCGGTGTCTTGCAATTCTCGATGGTTCTCAGGGTACGTAATTGACACCAATTTCTAAGCTGTACCGACATTTTCTAACCAAAGCTCTAGGATAACGCATTTGAGAACATCCCATATGAAGATTGGGTGGAGGTTTGGGGCCCCAAGGTCCAAGGTACCTGGAATCTCCATAATGCGCTCGAGGGCCAGGATCTGGACTTCTTCCTCATGTTCAGCTCCGCTACGGGTCTAGGAGGCATGCCAGGACAGTCAAACTACGCTGCTGCGAACACAGTGCTCGATGCCTTCGTCCAGGCCCGACAAAGCAAGGGGCTCCCTGCCTCTGTAATCGATCTGGGTCCAGTCGATTATGTCGGTTTCATGGTTCAGAACCCAGAGGTCGCTGCTAGGATGGCAGCCGAGGCGTTCTATTTCATTCCAGAGCAGACCTTGCTGGACGCTATCAAGCTGAGCATCGAGAACTCGTCGGCTGATGTAAGATCAACTGATCCTCTTTCTGCTTCGGGTTTTGTCAGTCCAAGCCAAATCGGTGTTGGCCTTCGAAGCACACTGCCTCTTTCATCGCCAAACAACAGAGTCTACTGGAGAGCAGACTCAAGATTCGCTCTATACCGCAATATTGAAGAGAGTGGAGATGGTTCTGATGCGAATGTAGGCGGCGACCAAGATGATGGGGGTTTCGGGCTCTTCTTGACTACGGCAGAAGCAGAGCCGCGATCGCTGGCCCAGGAGGATAAGATCGCTGAATTGGCTCAGCACATTGGGTCCATGTTGTGTGACCTCATGCTCAAGCCTCTGGAAGATCTTGACGTGAATCTCGGTGTTGCTGCGCTTGGCGTTGACTCTCTTGTTGCCATTGAGCTCAAGAATTGGCTGCGACGAAAGCTGGTACTGGAGGTCAGCGTGATTGAGATCATGAATGCCCCGTCACTCTTGGCCTTGGCTCGTTTAGTAGGAGAGGGATGGATGATTAAGAAACGTGTTGGAACCCGGGAGGGTGACAAATTTGTTTTTACGTCTTGATGATATTTGATTTACAGCTCAGCATAATTAGCATTTTAGCAATCTCGAGTTACGATTTTATGTAGTAAACGGCATTTTTCTTGCTCTTCATCTTTGTACAAATGCTTTCTCCTTCCATGAGAGAGGGGGACTTGCTTTCCCGCTGTTTGATATTTCATCCCTGGTTTCCTCCCAGGCGCGCCAGCCGACAGGAATTTTCCACACTTTCTGGCCTAGCCTTTTACGCTGCGGCGAACCAGACTGGCGCGAACTCCGACGTTCCCAGAGATCCCGGAAATTCCGGGCTCAAGGGCAGGTTTGTGGGAATCGGCCATGACATACGCCGAGATACGAGCAACGTGTATGTAGGCAGGGGATCTAGCACCAACGGTCATGCATGGCCCGCCACGCGAAGGATGTTCCCGGAGGGCAATGAGCGACATTGTCGGCAGGGTTTGGAAAAATAAACTAGCCAGGATCATGCATAAGACAGTGCAACAACTACTGTGTGGTTCACGAGATAAGTTCACGCCCCTCCTGTTCCAGATGAGGTGCTATGTGTGATGCAGGGGCTGTGAACTGGGGGTTACAACGGCCAGGAGACTGAAACGGAACAGGACACGCTTCATCCGCTTTTCTTGGAGTTACATCGCGTTCGAGCTTGTAGGGTTAGTAGTGGGAATTGGTCCATGGAGCGGCATCTTCGATCCTGCGCGCGGGCCGGTAGAAGTCATGGCATCATCAAGTTAAGCGAGTCTCGTGGTTCTTCTTGCGGATCGAGGCCAAGCCCTACCTATATCTGCTCAGAGTGAGCTACTCTTGGCTCACAGATCGCTGAATCATGTTGTGTTACTGTTTAAATACCTACATACACATAGTATATATTTGACAGCATATAGGACAAGCATTATGATGACTAACCGGTCAATGCGTGATTGATCCTGGAATGTCATTTGGCTGCAGTTGGTTGTTGGTTGTTGGTTATTGAGAAAACGGACAAGGATAACTGCTCTAGACCAGTCTTGGATATCAACCAGATTCCCCGCGGCAACTGAGATACGCATCAGACGAGCATGTTGCCTCAAATGAGCACCCTCCAACATTCACTGACAGGCTGGTGGATCTGCTTGTCCTTTTGCTATGTAGCACTCTGTACATTCATGATTTCAGCTTAGATCTACGCTCCCACAACCATATACCCATGTTGCCATATTCAAGCGATCACACTCTCACCCAACCCCCAGGAAAAAACGTATGACAGACGCCCCTTGCTCTTCTGCACGTCGAGTTGACCTGCCGAATGGGTATAGCATTATGTATGAAAAGAGGATCTGATGCTACAATACCTTACTGTAGCCTGGTACCTCGCATTAACTGGCCGCTTACCCAAGCCGATCGTCCCATCACTTATATTAGATTTTGCGTTCTTCGCCCTCCCAGTTGGCCTGGCAATTTCCACTACTCATCATTCTAATTACAAGCTTTCATCATGGCTACTACCTTCAGGACCCATCTCACCGGGCCGGCGAAATGGGCGGAGAAGACTCCAACCGCGCCCGCGTTCAAGGTTCCTCAATGGTCTGAGGCAGGCGAGTTCGGTGGTTGGAAGCCCGTTAGCTATGCGGAATACTGGGGTGATATCGAGAAGTATGCTCGCTACGTGTATAATGAATTTACTCAGCAAGGCCTGAAGGAACGCGATACCGTGGCTATCTGGTATGAAAATGGCAACGAAACCATAGACACGAGCCTTACAAGCTAACCAATCTCTCGGATAGGAGCTCTGGAGCCAACTATGTGGACATAGTGCACATTTGGGCAGTTGCCAGAGCGGGATTTGTCCCATTGCTTATTTCTATACGCATCCAGCATCTAGGAGCAATTGATCTGTTGCTGAAGGGCGGAGAAGCAAAGGGGCTGCTGTATAATCCTGTGGTTGGAGACAAGCCTGAGCTGGATGTGGTTTCTATACCTGCAGTAGATATCAAGACTGCGGAGGCAACCACGGGCGAAAAGCCACTTCCTGAGGTTTGGTTTCCCTCAAACGAAGATGAGATTGTTATGAAATACCACTCATCTGGTTCATCTTCTGGAATGCCAAAAGTGATCCCGATGACCGCTCGTTGGGTCGATTTTCTTTTGGATAAGCTGGTCGATGCCCTTGGGTCCGACCCAAACAAGCAGGAAAATACATCCGCCAAGTAAGTGCTCGAGAACCCGCGCTATATGTGATTTATAGCTAATCATGATCCCAGTGGCTCTGCCGTCCATCTTGCAGGAGCGATGTCTATCATTGCTAGCCACTACCAAGGCCAGTGCATTGTGATTTGCAAAGAAATCAGCAGCAGCCGCGAAGAACTCAAAGCTTTGATAGAAGACCATGGCCTGACCCGCATCGTCTTGTTCTCCACATTCTTGGCCAAGTTCATCATTCAGGCTCGCTCCGATCCGGAACTCCTCCAGCTGCTCAAGAGCCTCAATAGAATCATTCATGGCGGTGTGCCTCTGGATGAGAAATACGCAAAAGAAGCCCGTGATCAGGGTATCAAGCTGAGGGATATCTTTGGCAGCACTGAGATCGGAGTGGCTATGATTTCTGGCGACGAGGGGCCAAACGAGGCGTATCTGAGGCCCATCGCGGGCACCAAGTACAAATTCGTTCCTGTCAACGATGCATCATCTGAGTCTCAAAATGGTGCAGGTGCACCCAAACTGCTTGAGGTGATTATCACTGCTGAATCTGGAGATTGCCCGCACCCATCGTACAGGAATAAGGAGACAGGTGACTTCCACACCGGAGACCTGGTCGAGGAGATGGCTCCCGGTTACTACCTTTCCAGGGGCCGCAACGATGACTGGATGAAGATGCAGAATGCAGCACTCTGCGATACTCAGTCAATCGAAGGCAATGCCCTGGAGGTGTGCGGAAAAGATCTCATTGGCGCCGCGGTGTGCATTGGCCTCAAGCGGCCTTCACCAGTCCTGGTGGTCGAGCCTTTAGCCGATGGGGATGTTCCTCCGAATCTGACACAGGATGTCCTGGAAAGAATCAAGCCCTTCCATGAACGAATGTATGTGCATGAAAGAATCGACGAAGCAAAATTCATCATCGTTGCTCCCAAGGGTTCACTCCCCAAGACTCCTAAGGGGAATGTCCAGAGAAAACCCGTTGAAAAGACTTTCGAGAAGCAGCTCGACGAATTGTTTGGACAGACAACCCCTTGATGGAGAAAAAGAGAGATATCATGGTTAGGTGGTATAGGTCATATGGTTGCCTGTGTTAATGGTAGTTGGGGATCTGTACTTCAATTCTCTTAGCTCTTGATTTAGAAAAGGGGTATCTATATACAGTAGTAATGTTTGTTGCACGGGGTTTGTCTGGCCATGGTTCACCCACCAGCAGCTTAACTAATTTCAGAAGGCTCGAACACCCGTTAAACCTCTTAAGTTGCTCCTTTTCTTGATGACAATGGCTGCGCCACAGCCGCTAGTGGAATGTAACCTCGTAAGTCAAGCAAGTCAGCTTGATGAGTCACAACTGACTTCATGCGCTAGCAATGTATATAACTGCTTCCTCTATGGCCTGAAGATAGTTATATCCTGCCTGCCATATCCAATTTTTGCCAATATGGAAGAACCAGTCGAGGGACTGAGACAAGCCGCTAATATCCTGCTCCTGGTGGAGCTTGCGCAACAAGCTCTTAGCGAAGCGCAGAAAGCAAGCCTCTCACCAACGAGGAAGATGGAGTTTCACGACCTTCGACCAGTCATGGGCAAAATGAAAGCAGCTTCAGAATCAGCATTGGGAACAAGCTTCTCGAGGGTAGACATTGGGAATATCTATCAAAGAGCTGAGGAATGTTTGGATGTATCTGAGCAGCTTATACGATATGCAAACAAGCAATGGAATGAAGGCGACGACCTGAAAAGCCTAGAGGCGGCATTTGAAAAACTGAAAAGTCGGCTGAACCTTGGTCTTCTCACTTTTATCGAGTAAGTGTGTGCCGCTACATGTCGTAATTTGAGGTTATCCGGAGCGAAGCTTACCAGTACATAGAAATTACGCGCAAATGCCTCTGACAGCCCAGCATGAGCTTATCAAACAACTGTCAAGATCTACGAATCGAAATGAAGACCGAAAGACAGAATTTAATGGCGGACACAGTGGCCGCAAAGAAGGATTCGGATTTTCAGTTGTCGAGTGCCTTGCTCCCATTGAGGCCCCCGGAGATCCAACCTCGATCTTTTTTACACTACTTGTTGATATTATTGATGCTTTACATCGCTCGGAGATGCAGAGGGTCTTGGATTCTCCTCCCATTATTATTCATGATGCTCGGAGATTTCAAGTTATCAAGATTATCCTGAATATGCAAGGATACAGAGCGCCCAGTGACATGGAAGTGCGTGCCCGCAATGAACACTGCGCTGCGTTCAACAATATATTCTCTACGCCCGCAGCCGGTAAGAATCCATGGGTCAACTATTGCCAATGGCTCGAGTCGGATGAGCAACTGTACTGGATTACCGGTGAAAGGGAATCGGGCAAGACAACCCTTATGAAACTCATCGCTCATGGGCCTCAACATCCTTCCCGTGAATCTCTGGTTGGGTCGGTACCCTTTCTCCGCAAATGGGCGAACGGAAAAACCCTGATCACAGCAACCTTTCTCTATAATACGCCGGCGAAGAACGTGGAGCTTACAATGGAGGGAATGATTCGGTCACTTCTTTTGCGGATTCTTACAAATTGCCCAGAGGCCATGGAAAGATTGAGTCCCACGAAGTGGGAAAGTATCTGCCTCTTCGGGGACTCTTACTTTGTGCCTGAAGAGGAAAACCTTTCGAATCTACTGATTGATGCACTCAATACCCTCAAAGACAGTCATGAAATCTGTATATTCGTGGACGGCTTAGACGAGTTAGATGGCGGTAATGGAGATGTCGCGCGGCTATTCAAACGCATTATAAACGACACGTCAGCCAAATTGTGCTTCGCCAGTCGTCTGCTTCCAACATACCAAAACATCTTGGGGAGCAGCCCCCAGCTCGAAATTCATCACCTTACATACCGCCAGATCGCGATATATGTGGGAGAAGCAATGAAGGCAAATGAAGAATTCTTTCAATTCCAAAAGGACGATACCGGGCCAGTAGCTAAGTTGGTGGACAGTATTACGACCAAGGCGGCTGTTGTCTTCGTATGGGCTCGTGCCGCGGTCATTATCATGCTTGATGGCTTCCATCGTACAGACAAGAGATCCGATCTTTGCAAAAAGTTGGATAGAATACCACTGGATATAAATGAGTTATATCAAAGTATTCTTAACGAAATGGATCCTGAAAGCTTAAGGGTGTTGGCACAAATATTGCTCATCATGGGGAGCTGTGCCGAACCGCCTCCAGCCATACTGCTTTCATTCGCGTTGGAAAAGAATCCCCAATTTGCAATAGAGCTACCACCGAAAATACTGTTGCCTCAAGATGCGCAGAATCGCATTACAGCAGTTTACAAGAGGATCGAGGAGATAAGCAAAAATCTTATTATGTTTGACAAAAGAGAAGAAACACCCAACGCCTCGTGGGTTAACATGTGCAGAGCCCTTTACGCCGAGGAAAAATTCCGACAATTCATTCAACAAACCTCTCTAAAAGCCTTTCTTCAGAAGTCTGCCGGCGAGAATTTCGACGTCCATCTGCAGCTGTGCAGGGCATATTTGGCCTTGCACAAAGTAAGCGAGCCTCACAAGAAGCAGTTATTAAGGATGTATTTTCACGAGCCTTCGTCTGCCGATAGGGCGTTGATTTACTGTATGAGGCACGCGTCTTGCGTGGAACCTCGCCACAACTCCGAGATGATCAATGTATTGGACCGCATTGATATCACCGGGCTCCCTCAATCTAGACAGCCGTGGTGGCAAGTCGATAGTTGCGCAACGAAGTTCCTTTGCCAAACGCATAACTTGAACGAGTGTCAAGTTGGAGGGGAAATGTGTGGCCCAAGCCTTCTCTCGTTGGCTGTCAAATGTGGTGTGGTCGAGTACGTCAAGGCAAAGATGCCAGCCAATTGTTTGGTTCCTCTTGAGGATGTATACAGTACCAACCACCCGAAGGATCCTTGGCCTCTTCTTCTTGATGCCTTGGACAATTCATTCCCAAATTCTAGAATGGTTGAGGTCTTGCTGGAGGGTGGTGCGGATCCGAACCTCGAGCTATCTGGCTTGCGCTTCAGTCCTACTATGTGGGGTCATTATTTGAGTCACTTGTTTTGCGTAATCGAGGGTTCGGGAGTAGAGAGCGGAAGGTTGGACGAGTACGAAAAGATAATGCGCTTGATGATAAAGCACGGTGCCTCGCTGAGCACCGAATCGCTGGAGAGAGCTGTCTCAAACCAGTATCTGCGCATCAGAATCAGAGAGGATTATATGAATGACCTCGTCCAAGTGTTTCAAAGCGACTTTGAACAGATCAGAACTAATCCCGAGGCTCCACTTGACTTGGTAACCATGGTGGCTCGTGGCAGAGAGGCAGGCGCTCGCAATGAGGAGGCTAGGAAGAGGCCGTTGCTGTGATTTATGCTGTTCAAATACAGAATTCCTACCCATCAAGCATTTCTTTGAGCCATAACATTAATGTGATTTTAATTCCTAAAAGAGGCTAATTCTTTCTGAATGGGCAACTTGTTCAAGGATAGTCCAGCCCAGCTGCGTCTCTGATCCACCAAAATCCCGCCTTTTCCACACCTCCACGATGATATCTCTAGCCTTCTTTATATATCGCATCTGCCTCTTCTGCTGGAGCAGGTGTATCTTCTCCAGTATCAACGCCCTCTCGGCATCGCACTCCACGCCTATGCCTAGCGTTGCTACCATGAATAGAGGCCATAGGATTAGGTTGGACCGGGTGGACAAGCGCTTGACAAGGCTGAGAATCTTCGAGGATAGCCGTGTGATACAAGGATCATATGGACCTAGGTTGTCCACGCGAGAGTATAGATGAAGCTGGCCAGTCAGACGCTTGATTTCGATCGCAAGAACACTTTCTGGGGTATCTTCGTCATGTATTGCCGACTCATTGATTGGCGTGTGTTGATGTAATCGTCTTTCCAAGTAGAGGCGCCGTTCTTCCAGGCCTGAAAGTATCTCCGGATCTACGTAATCAAGTTTGGAGAGGGCAGAAAAATCAGCGGCAAGGGAGTTGACATCGGCCAAGATCTGGAAGAAGTCTGTGGAGCAGCCGGTAAGCGTCTGGAGATTAACATCGTCACACATGACTGTCACTGGACTTCCGCTGCCGATAGAGGGCTTTGCGTTCCAGGCTGTGTGCGCGTAGACCTCGTGAATGACGATATATCCCCCCACGAAATTGAATAACGCGTCGATATCTGGGTCTAGTGAGACCCGGGTGTTGCGAAAATTCTGGACCAAAGACCTCGCGAAATCGGAATGTATCACCCACGATGATGAACAGTCGCTCATGATCTGTGCATCTCAAGTTAGAAAAGCTCAATGGCCGGGCATTCACTGGAATGGAGTAAATGGGAGCCTTACGTCAATGAAGATGAGAGACATGACTGTCGCCAGTATCTGTGCCTCTGAAGATTGGTCCATAGTTCCCTCCTCCATTTTGCAGGTCTCTATTCTCAGCAGTCGCAGAGCTTGGTGGTGGTAGCCTAATGCTACAGAGTCATATTCCTTGCTCCCGAGTATGGACCGTTCTCGGGCTGATATTGCCATGATGATATTGAATAACGGTGATGATCTGCCTGTTGAGGCGGCAATACGCAGTAAAATGGCTTGATAAGGATTCACTGATGGGTTCAGAACACATGCTGGTGCGATGGCGCCATGGAAATAGGTCCAAAGATACACCTCCATTTTGGACATGGCCAGAGGGTCCAGCCAGGCCCGTGGCTGGACCTCTTCATATGGTAGATCAAATACGTCGTCGTCGTCTGTGTTGGGCCATTCTAAAGCTTTGATGTTGGATGCCTCATCATCCGGCGAGTCATCCAAAACCGCCTCTGGGAGCAGATACGGGAGTGATCTTGCACTGAGATCCAGTGGGTAGGCATGCAGAAACATCCAGTTCTCGGTGGAGCGTGTATCCAGAGGAGCCACCTTGCTGCATGACTGGACACGCTGCCATCTGAGAACCTGGTTATAGCTGCAGCGCCGACCGAGCATCCGGCAAGGCTTGCAAGCCGGCTTCTGTTCTGAAGTATCTCTGTCAGATCATGTCGCTCTACAAGGGGACAAAACATGGGACCGAACAGGGACCGTGGTCAGCTCCCGAGTTCCTCAACCGCGGCTGTGAGTTGAGGAAGTCGGAGCAAGAGACCTCGTTCAACACCATCCTCGAACAATATTCTCTCCACTATTTCCCTAGCGCACAGCACACTTACCAGGACATTTGACTCGCCTCTTGCGGCACTCATTGCACCCAGTCCGGGTCCTTGTCTCCCCTTCTCTAGCCCGTCTTGTCCCCATTGCGATTCCTTATGCTGCCCCACCAATTGTGCCTAGTAAATGTAAGACGGAAAACCCAGGGTATCAGACGACAGATCGTCGTTCTGCAGATGTGGGAAGGTCGAGACGAGCCGGCGAGGGATTTGGAGCAAGGGCGAGAAAGGGTTGAGATTATGCCGCGCCGTCGCGGTCTGGCAGTATGGGGTAAGATAAGGCCGGTGGGACTGAGGTAAAAACGTGGGGAAACATGGCATGACTCGTATGGTTCTGCTTGATAAGTCATAGAGTTTATGCATCTATCCCCTATGAGAGGTCCCAGCGTTATCGTTTACGTCGTTTCGAGTTGCCTCCATATGCACGTCTTATTGCCGGCCAAAAGCTCCACCACATGGTCTTGGTCCGATACCGCTAACTCTGCCAGTCTCATGATTGATGATAGTCCGGGCGTAAATTGACTTATCTATCACTCGACAGCCATACTATATACCGTTATTAACACAGAGCCAAAAACCACGCTTGAGGCATTCGTGTGTTGTATCAACTTGTCACCCGTAGGCACCTAGGGAGAGACCACGATACCGGAACGATCCAGTAGGAGAACCCCGCCCGCCATGCCCACATCAAAGAGTGTGCTCATCGTTGGAGCCGGCACCTTTGGCTTGTCTACGGCGTATCACTTGGCCAAGTCCGGGTACTCCCACATCACAGTCCTCGACAAGAGCGAGTTCTTGCCCTCCAACATCTCGGCCGGCCATGACGTGAACAAAATCATCCGCGCCGAGGATGAGAGCCCCTGGTATGCTGACCTGTCTCTCGTGAGTAGCCTCAATATTGCAAGATTTCGCCATTGGCATGCACTAACTCTCGACTCAGGAGGCTATGAAGGTCTGGACAGACGACCCCCTTTTCTCTCCTTACTACCACCAGGTCGGCTATCTCCTCGCCAATTCACCTGCAGCACCTGAGAAGGCCAAAAAGACGCTCGCCAAATCTCTAAGTAACATTTCCAACCGACCTGCATGGCAGGGTAAAATCAAGCCATTGAACACCCGTGCGGATATTCGTGATGTGGCTCCAGCTTTTGATGGACCAATGGAATGGAAGGGCTACTTCAACAGCTTGGCCGGGTGGGCACATGCTACGGACTCGATGCACGCTGTATATTCAGCATGCTGCCTACTTGGTGTCGAGTTTAAACTGGGTGTCTCTGTCGAGAAGCTTGCATGGGAGGGGCAGAAGTGCATCGGGGCATATTCCACGTCTGGGGAGCTATACTCTGCTGATGTCACCGTCGTGTCCCTCGGAGCCTCAGTGGCAGCCGTCGTTCCGGAGTTAGCACCGCAGATCACCGCGAAAGCCTTTGCCGTTGCTCACATCCAGTTGACGCCTGATGAGGCTTTGAGGCTTCGGGGTATTCCTGTCACTTACGCCAGAGACCTCGGTTTCTTCTTTGAGCCAGACCCGAGGACCGGTCTCCTCAAGCTATGCCCATCTGGCGCAGGTATCACCAATTACAGAAACACCAAGCTGTCTTTGCCGCCTGTCGACAGTAACTACATCCCAGCTCATGATGAGGAAGCCATGCGCAAAATTCTTCGAGAGACTCTCCCATGGCTCGCGGACCGGCCTCTCATCAATAAACACATGTGCTGGATCGCCGATACACGAGATTCAGCTTACGTTTTCGATTATTTGCCCGGCAAGACTGGAGTTGTAGTAGCGACTGGCGATTCAGGAACCGCATTTAAGATGCTTCCCATCGCTGGACAGTGGGTCAAGAAGGTGATTGAGGATGGGAAGCAGAGCGAACCGAGATGGCAGTGGAAGAATGTATCTGGAAGTAATGACGATGTCAGTTGGCGTGTTGGTAAACCCTATGACTTGAGCGAAGAACCACGAATCATGTCAAAGCTTTAGAATAGCTTTCACGGTCTCATGGCTTGGGATGATTTTATTTGAGACTATTTATGAGGCTATCGATTTCGAGGTCTTTAATTACGTGACCACATGTTATCTCCTCCCCTTGGCCCCGAAAGCGATGGATGAGGTGGAGAGGAAGGGAAAGGGGCAAGGAGTTATCTTGGCCGAAAGATTTAGTTGTCATGTGTCATTCTAGTGTGAGACTATCGTGAAAACAAAGTGGATATTTCCTCATAATTTATCAACAGAAGTAGAAACATCGATGATATTTAATAACAACCCAAGGACCAAGTGGGCGCCATGATAACAGGGGCTGTAAGAGTGTTTAGCCATAACCATAAGTATGGTAGATGATAGTGTATAACAATAATAAATTATTGAGTAGTTATTAGATAATGCTCTGATCAAATTGGCAAAACTATCTCTACAGACAGATCCTCAACTAATCTAAACCACTTACGTATGAAAGAGATAGCCGCAGAGTAGATTCCTTAAATCTTAGTTTCACGTCTTTCCTAGCCCATATTCCTACCATTAGTGCGTATACCTGAACGACTCCTTCTGCTTCCCATCGGTAATATCGCCGAATCCCTCACCGCTACCCTCCTGCACGAGCTCTGGCTTTCCATAGAGGCGATCACGCCGGCGGTTCTCAAACATACAGACAGCCAGGTAGGTGAGAGCAATCAATATGGCAGCACAGAAGCAGCTGAGCATAGCAATTACGCCTCCGGTGTATTGAGGGGCTTGATTTGCCCGGAATGTCTGGGGACCGATCAAGTTACCAGCCGCGTATCCGATGTTGACGATGGCGAAGACGACGGCCTTCTTGGTCCGTCCTCCAGTATTGGCTTGCGGGAGAGAAATAAAGACAACATAGGGGGCTGTAATGTATCAGTGTGGTGCTCAATCAAATCGAAGGAGAGAGTGACTTACGCCAGTAGAGGTACATGAGATACAATCCGACCATTTGAGCTGGAATGACCGAGCGAGGTACACCGTAGACTATCGCTGTTCCAAGCAGAGGGCACAGACAGGCGATCGAAGCCACGATTGTGCGTCGGTTCGTCCACTTGCCCGCAAATGTGCTGAAGACCCAAGCGCCGAACGTACAGAACAGTCCGAACGGCATGGTCAGGAGACTGGCCTCCAGGGATGTGAATCCGAGGTTCTTGATGATGATG